AAAAAAAAAAAAAAGAAGAAAAAGGGGAAAAAGGATGAGAGAGAGAGAGAGAGAGAGAGAACGAAAGAGTTGTATACTCTAGGCTCAAGATCGATGGAAAGAACAAGAGAAACAATGAAGCTGTGTGCCGTGCAGCTCTTAGATAGCTGCGACAAAGGGGCCACGGAATAAAAGGACGTCGGGCCTGTTTCCTGGCTAACCGTACATCAATGCCATTGAAAAAGATAAATTCGACTCTTTGTGGCTGTGACTCTGTCCAGAAGATTAAGCACGAGTATTCCGTTTCTAGAGTAGAGTAGCGTAGTTGGTAAGTCTCTTCCTTTCCTTCTTCAGAAATGATTAAAGTTAAAGTCAAAGTACAAGATCTTTGTTGTTCTAGACGCAGGTTATCAGCTTATGAAAAACTTTTGCCACCTTCTGACAACCGACAAATGACAATTGAAAAAAACTTTGAATTAATAAACAAATGTGTCTTGGGTTCCTCAAATCAAACTCCTGGCAACATTCCTTGACAACACATGGTAATTGGTTAAAAAAATTTGGTTTAATTTAATTTAATTTAACAAGTACTATAATTTCACAGAAAGCAGTTTTTTCTTCTTTTACTTTGAGTTTACTTGAGTTGAGACGAAACACGTATTTTTTTCCATCCTCCTCATAACCAATATACGCGATACACGTAAGTGACAATGATCACTTGATACAACGTTAAAATGTTAAAAATCGCAAGTATCGTTTGTCTTAACAATCACGTATCTACATCTTTACCTTTAGATACGTGACGGCAAGATCTTAAAGGATGTTGAAATATGCTTTTTTAATCATATAATGGCATTAAAGTCAAAAAATCAATAAAGGTGTATACACGTCTGTATGTATATATATATATATATATAGTCGTTTCAACTATCTTTGTCGATTCCAGTGTAAAATTCCTTTCGTCTTATTACAAATTAGCAACGTCTGGCTATCATCATCTATTCGGATGAAAAATATCGCAAACATTTTCACGATACTTGGCACCGTGCATTTTCATCATCGTGCAAACGCACGCTCTTGACACAATTGCCAGTCTTAAAGGCTCGAGTGGTAGGCGTACGAGTGGCGAAATAGTGCAATTAAAATGCCTAAGAAACTCCTCGAAAAATCCGACGCTTTTTTGCTCCTATTTTTGCGCAAAACGTTCCGAGTTTCAGGGTTTTTAATTTTATGTAGCGTGTAAGTGCCCGCCTGCAAAGTGGCTCTGCGACAAAAGTACTATTCAATCTTTCGATTCTCTCGGGGGAGAGGGGTGTGTGTGTGTGTGTGTGTGTGTGTGTGTGTGTGTGTGTGACCAATGCGATGAAAAAATAAATAAATCCTTTCCAACTGGTTCAACACACACACACACACATACTCTCACTGTCTTTTGATTCGACATACTTTTTCAATGAGAAACATACAGTGGCTACAAAAAGTATTTGCACATACTTTAATTTTCCAATGAAAACCATATTATCGTATAGGTCAGACGTATTTCATTTTTGCGGTATCAAACTTTCGTAATCGGTAAATTGATGCGAAATTTAATACACTTGGACGTAATTAGCTCACTTTGTGCGAATCCCGTGATAAGTATTGCCCCGGGAGTGCAAATACTTTTTGTACCCACTGTACGTTCAAGTACCCTCTTTAATATCGTCAGATTAAAACAGCCATGGGGAATTTCTCTATTGAAACCCCTTTTTAAAAATAATGACGATATACGAGTGTGCCGGAGACAATTTTATCAGATAATTTATTGTTTAAAGCAGAGAAAGTGCGTAATTATTTTTACAATGTAGAAGAGGAATATTTTCGAGGATAATACATACAATTGAGATGATCGTGCAACGGAAAGTTTAGGAGGGTGATTGTTGGTGGAAGAATTGATCGTAATTGATAAAGCATGAAATGTAACAATCGTAATGTATATGATATCATTCTCACTGTAAGACTAAAACTTCGATTCGTCACTTTGGAAATTCCAACACTTTGAGAACGCTACACCGCACCGGGCGCGTCTCGCGAAATAGTAATCGTCGTGACACAGTTTTAGGCTGGCAAGAGTAGAAAACCTCGATCGATATCTACTATACGTGCGTTTAGCTGGGAAAAAACTGCAGTTTAAAAAAAAAAGCCACACACTCTCCAAGTCAGAAAAGCGTTTTCCACGTACACTATCCTTCCCCGAGTTTCTATTTCGAGAACGTAACGTAGTCTTTCTCGAATTTTCGAGAAAATGTACGATCGAGACGCGATTATGTCGATCAAATTTGAAAGAAAACATCGCGTCTGAAAAGCTACTGAGAAATTGCAAAGTATACAAGAAGACGAATATCAACAATCCTCGTTCCAAGGAATTTTTTTTTAACGCTCTACATCAATTTTTTTAAATATATAACACACAATTGCAATAAATATTTCCAGCTGCTACATTTCCAGACATACATTTTCAGTTTAAATGTTACCGATAGAATCACGACACGCATTATTCTACGCGTTCCATGTATTTACCGTCTACAATATACGTACGTACGTAGGTATGTTAGGTACTTTAAAGTTTTCTACGGTAACTGTGCAACGGCAACATACTGCTTACGCAGATAAGCCAAATATTTCGCCGAACAAGTGAGCAAGTGTCTGGATAATTTTGAAAAATAGCCTACACTATATCGATATATTTTTATTCGTCCGGCGAATATGAGCCAGCCAGAGGCAACCAAAGGCAACCAAAGGCAACCGATCCAATCGATCCACGGACGTGTTTCGTGTTTCGAAATGTTTCGAACATTTCCAACATTTAGATAGATGTACATCTCCATGTACGTACACATGTACGTACGTCGGTGTATCGTACGATGTAAAACGAGTTCTTTTATCGCTTTGGCAAGGTGATTGCGCCAGCGCAAACTAAATCATGTGGAAACGTACGTTAAAATAGAGATTCGCGACGGTGCTTCTATCTACGGTATAATACCCATCTAATACCTCCGATATCCGATATCCATCTGCTACCTACCTATCTACTACCACCTATCGACAAAGCGTCAAGCGTCAAGCGACAAGCCATCCCCCCTTCGATCGCCGTCCACTCCCATCGTCCATCTTTATCGGTGATTATCGAAAATTGAAGTGTTTCCACTGTCGTTGCCGACTTTCCGATCTACGGTTAATTGAGCAGAGGATCTCTATCAACGTGTCTCTCGAAATGTTGGCAACCGTCAATTTTCATCGGTCGGAAAGTAGTAGGAATTTCTCTTTCTTTTCTTTTCTTTTCTTTTCTTTTCTTTTCTTTTCAAACGCGTCTGTAACGACGGGAACACAAGGACTTTCGTACCAAAGTCACCTCAACTTATCTTTTAGGTGTTTTTTACAAGTTACAAAGAGTGAAGGGAATTTTATAATATCGCAAGACGTTCAGATCAAATTCCATCGAGTTTCCGATAATTTGATTCTCTTACAGCTCTTTACACACTTTACGTTACACACGTGATCGTGAAACACGACGAATGATTAACTCGAGCATGTTGTCTACCACATCTACGTATAAGCGTAATCAAGATCGATATATGCACGTAACAACAATTCACTTGTGCCATGCAAAAAAAAAAAAAAAAAAAAAAAAAAGATATCGTTCAAATCCTTAAAAGTGCTACACTTGTGAAATATTTGTAAAAAATTTCGGATTATTATAGCATTTAATTGATAATTCAATCACTCTGATAATTCTGTTGTTAATTGGATCAAATTTGTATCTCTGTCAACTGTGATTGCCAATTGGCAAAAATTGGTGACGGAACAAAGAAATTAACGTATCCTTTCGATAGAGAAGTTCATTTATCGTATTTAGTTTATTTTGTTCCGTAACGAGAGGGATGTTGGTGGTGCAACTCGGTGGGTAAATCGGTTGAAACCCGGCTGAAGAATAGCAAGTTCCAAACCAGACAAAATACCGTGAAACGTACAGGTGGTTCTGTCACAGTTGCAAACTCATTTGTCCGAGTCTGCGGGTAGTTACATCCTTGATGCAGGAAACGGGTATTTAAGTAACTTTGAACATTTAAACCTACGCGAGAATTAATCGAAAAGGAAATACCAAGCGCTAATTTTAATTACCGTTTCTTTCAAACTTAATTAACCTCGCCATCCTTTAACGTTACGGTAACTAACGGTACACGTTGATGATATTTTTTCCAAGTCCAACGATCTATATCTTCTATCCATTGAAATTTCACGATCTCGTACGTACTATAATCATTGATATATATATATATATATATATATATACACCGTTGTATTTAGCCCTCAGTTTAAATTTTCTGCAAATGAATTTTCACTCGTACTACCAATTGAGAAGATTGACTGAAATTTTCTATTAAATTTTGTGTGCGTGTGTGTTTTTTTTTCCATTTAGAACAGAGAAAGAAAAAGAAAGAGAAAAAAATTGGAGAAAACTTGAATGTTAGAATGTTGCATAACAAACGCTTTCGACTATATCCTATTGACCTGCAGAGCGTGCGCCTCCGACATTTACGTAGAAACAACATCAACCTTGAAGGAAACTCGAGGAGGAACAACTATGTACTTACATACGTACGTATGTACGCGAGTAACATGGTAAATATTTTACGTGACACAGGATTGGCACCTTACGTTTCTCTCCTAAGCCTCGAAATAAAAACTCGTTTGTCGGAAAAATGAAGCATTCTCGTTTCCAACGTCAAGGCCATACTCGTAAAAATCACCTGGCACCTGCGTGTGATTAAAGCTATAGATCCGCCACTGCATACATTTGTACATTTTATACGAAAGAAAATAACTGTTGGTAACAGTTTAAAAACTCTATGTACAAAGTTATAAATTATTGGGTGTACGTAGATATACATATATATATATATATATATATGTATATATATATATATATATATATATAAATAGTCCCTGATATGTGAACTGATTCAAATGTCGGTTTTGACGATCTACGTAAGTAAGTCTGAACTTTTGCAAATTACAAGTTTCAAATCATTCGTAATCAGCATTCATAGATACCATCGCGAAAGAATAATCCTAGCAACACAAGCATGGAAATTTTACAAATTACCATTTACGACGAATCACTCTACTGTTGTAACATTGTGAATTTATAACCAATTTTACTATTATCATTGTTAGTTGGTAAATTACCGTTGGTAAATTACAAGTAACACGGAGAAAATAACAAACAGGAGATGACTGTTAATTTACCAAAGAATATTTTTAGCTGAACATTTCAGGAACACGCACACATGTAGGAGGAAGAGGAGGAGAAATATTCAAAATAAGGTCCCAACCGTCTCAACGTTTCCCGTCCTCCATGAATATTCATAGCAAATAAAATTACAAGGAAAATTAATGGCAAGCCAGAGGGAGGAAACAGAAACCAAGTCGGTTACTTGGAAAAGTACGATCGTTGTTAAGAATTGTCGATAGTTAATTTGACAGAAAGTTTCACTTAAAAATAAGATTCACTCGGACGAAAGAATAAACCAATATGTTCAATCTTTCGACAAAAACCATTGTTACACGGTGAATTTTCGTTCGTAAGAAATAACTAATGCGATAAAATAAGTTTAAATCTCGCGGTGCTACTGTCACCTTCGTGTTTGCAAATTGATAACAAGCCAATGGTTACCGAGTTAACTAAACGTGTAACTAGGAAAGATACAGAGTTGCGATTCTTGGAACAACTCGAACGGGAAACTGATTTAGAGTGAGATTAATATCTGTAATGTCAAACACTTTAGGTATTATTTGTTTATATATATATATATATATATATATATATATGTACGTAGATTTTCTTTTTAATTTGTATTTATTTTTTTATTTTAAGCATAGCCAGACAATTTGCGTCTGAATACACATTACAAATTCAGAGTCAAATTAATCGGACCAATTACTTTAATGCGTCCACTCGATTACGTTTAATACCTTGCCACTTCTCACGAAAAAACGAAATTTTGACCGAAAACAAAATTCTCGCAAAGAGATTGAAACGACCAGATCGCCAATGTACGAATGACTCATGGCCCAAGTCTTGTGTTCCAAGAACCACGGGATTCTGCATCATCAGCTGTATTTTCAGATTCATTATTCAACTTGCGGCTTACCTGCTTGAACCCACGGTACATCACTCGTATTTCTTGTCTGGAGAACTTTGTCTGTCGAAGTAGTTCCTCGAGGGCGACAGGCCTGGTGGTTTGTTGTCTGGCTCGCGCGCTTTCGAAGTCGAACAGGGCCTCTTCCGGTCCTGGCGAATCCGGCGGCGTAGCCATCTCTCTTTCTAATCAGCCCGACGCCGATTTTTTCCTCTCGCCAACTTTCTTTCCTCCTCTTTTCTTCTCTTTTTTTCTTTCCCCTCCCTCTTTTGTCCTCCCTCTCGGTTCGTTCGAGATCGCGCCACGTTCACTTCATTCCTCTCGTTATTTTTCTCTCACCGTGATTAGGATTACCGAGATGAAAGTGCTTGGCTGCCTGCCGTGCTTGTCTGTAAAAGATATTATTTTTAATATTTACAAATTATTTTTAAATATCAACATCGATATTAATACGCCCTAACGATATTCGATCACTTTTTTTGTTCGGCAGCCATACTACACGTACTACATACATAAAACACACATGTATCATACATAAAAGTAAATCGACGCGTTTATTTATTTATTTATTTATTTATTTATTTATTTATTTATTTATTTATTTATTTATGAAGCTTAACCCTCGCAATCGACAAATCCAATTAAAAGGAGGTAGCAACGACAATTTTATGGACAAACGGCCAAAAGACAAGAGAAGAAATTCAATTTTAAACTTGAAAGTAGATCGAACAGGTCATTGGTCAGCCCCAAGATCAATGAAAATCCGTAGACGGATCTATCCCAGACAGAATACTCTTCGCTCGGTAAACGACAGCGTTCACCGCGAACAGCAAAACTAACTGGCTTTTCCTCCCTTTCGTCTCAAAAGAATCGGACGTAGATGACGCTTTAAACCAGAGACCGAATCGGTATTACGGATACCGGTAAAATGCCGGTATTTTTAGATTACTATTCGACTACGTTTGATGAAACCGAAATGGTGCAAATACCGGTACGATGCTATCAAGACAATGTTAGGTCGGTAGATGTATCGGTAAATAAAATATTAATATATTAGAAAAGGAAAAGGAGACAATGATTCAAGTGTTTTCATAAAGCTGCCGATAGTAAATTTGATGACGCTTATACACGTACACTTTGTTTATTTTTATTAACTTTTTGATTAATAAATTTCTTTTATTTTATTTATATTATCTAGCGGCTAGCAGACGTTAGAAGATGTTTCTAGCAGCGGCTAGAAGGGCTACCTAACAAAATATTAATTATCGTTTATTATTATTAACAATTTTCAGGTTCAAATATTGTAGCTCTTCAAATGTCCGAATATTTTTTGTTTGCCACGCTACATTTCGACATATGTAGTTCAGTTTATTATCAGTTTGATATTGAGAAAAGTATGTGCAATAAATAAATAAATAAATAAATAAATAAATAAATAAATAAAATTCATGTCACTATAAACTATAATGAATGTTCTATTATAATTATTAAAAAATTAATCCAAATTTACTGTTATAAACAATCGAAATCCACGACAATCTTTTGAATAGCATCATGTCCGAATATTAATAAGACTCACTTCACTGTACGTAGAAAATGAAAAATGTGTTTTCGTCGGTAAAGCGGTACCGTACCGGTATATATTTCGATATTTTTATCGCTGTGGGCATCAAATACCGATAAAATACGTATGAAAATACCGGTATGACCGTCTTATACCGGTATTAATATCGATTTTCCAAGTAGCGGTTACATTACGATAATATGGGAGCAAATACCGGTATAATATCTAAACTTCATAATATTTCGGTTTCAGTCTCTGCTTTAAAGAAAGGAACCGAAGGAAGGAAGAATACCGCAGAGTAAAAAATAAAGACGGTAAAATTCAAAAATTGATTATGTTACGTACATACGTGTACGCATCAAGAGGTATCGTTGTTCCGTAAATATGCCACGTATTGTATTTATTATTGCATGCAACAGTGACATAGTAGTAGGAGGCATCGATAAACATCCGGCAAGTCAACGATGGTCGAATGGTGGGTATTCGTGGAACCAGTTGTAAAATTTAACGGGCTTAAAGCGCCAGCTACGTGTACATGCTACGTGTCTGGTTTTTGTACGTGTACAAACCATGGCATACGTGCACGTACTTGTACTCGTATAAACGCGCTGGAACGATTACACCACACTGGCATGGTAAATTGAAACCCGGCCGAATCAAATATTTACGTACAGACATTCAGACAGCGAATCCGTGATGAAACTCAGATTAAGCGAATTAATCAAGATCTTCAAATGGATTGACAAATGGAGCGGCGGCCACGTGCCGCGAAACGCAGCGTGGTCTGACTCGATACCGACCGATTCTACTTAAAATATGAGTGGACGGACGATTAAACGGACGGCTATATTATCGACGGCTACTTACGTACATATTTGGCGTTGTTGTTGTTGTTGTTGTTGTTGTTGTTGTTGTTGTTTCGCCAAATATGCCGTGGTTTTTATTTATATATTGTCTTTTCATTTTCAGCTTTTCACTTTTTACCGTGCACTTTCGTTATTTTAATGATTTTGCTGCTGTTGTTCTTCGTAACGATAGATCATACGTGCATACCTGCACATTACCTGTTTACAGTAACATCCTGCAGATGTTTATATATGCAAATTTCTATTTTTATAAATACAAACAAAGAGGCAGAAGATATCTCTTGAGCAAGAGATACGTTTAATAACAACTCAAATTTGATAGACAATTCAAGATAATGGGGCTTTTGAATTCAAGAAAATTGAAAAATTTGAAGAAAAAGTTACTCTTGTCAAGTAACAAAACCAATTAATGTGTGAACATCAATCACGCACATATATTCTACTTTCTACCCCGAAGATATCGCACGTCTGTCACTTCATTAACGCAGAACGAAAGGGTGAAAAGAAAAAGGAGAAGAGGAAGAAAAAAAAGAAATTATCCAATGTTTCGTACGGTTGGAAAGATTCAGGTCACTCGGTTAACGCCTATTGAATCAAACGCAATATCACAACTGTGTTCTGTAAGGAAACGAGGAGAGAAAAAATAATAAACGCGTCAAGCATCGCTGCCTGCTTTCAAGAATCGATGATGTACATATACATGTGTAATATGTACGTACGTACGTACGTATGTATGTATGTATGTATGTATGTAGTTCGAGACCTCCGAGGTCCGGTCCTTCTAAATGACATTTTTCAATCATTCCATTCCAACTCTCTCTCTCTCTCTCTCTCTCTCTCTCTCTCTCTGCTAAACCTAAACAGATTGCTTCGACAGTTGGTTATTAAATTAACTCTGCTACGTACGTAATACGTTCAAACAAACAAGAATATTTTTTTCAATTCTTATCGTTAAGTTTTTTATAATATAGACTTTTCAAAAAGTTTAGTAGAAACGTCTGGTAATAAAAATATTTCATTCGTTCAATTGACAATACGTCAATTATAACTCTGAAATAATTAATTGTAATCAACACTATTATATAGAGTGACAATATATAATGAAATCACTGTTCAATTAAAAGAACCTGGTCAAATTCCTTTCAATTTTAAAGTACACACATTATAACCGATGCATATGCACATGTACACAGCATTTGATCGATAAATTACGAAATCTTTCGTATCTGATACAATGATACAATGAATTTCGCGAATTTGAATTTGAACACTCGTGACACTTTCACGTCCTAGTATGTATGTAAGTAGAGCTACATTCAAGTTTTGAAATTTCTCGTTAGCAGGGTAACTGTAGTAATGGGAGGCACCCCGGATCCCGGATCAAACACGACGTTCTCAATTTACCCTGCAAATATCGAAATACTCTGTTTGAAGCTTAAAGTGTTTGAACTGTATAACGTACGTATGTACACTGCCTCCAAATTTCACCCAATGGAACAGTGACGCTCGTAACAAAACCAACAATCAGTTAGTTTGTCGTTTAGCGCGCGGCGATTACGAGAAACTGGCTAAAGGAGAAAAATGGAGGAAAAAACAGAAGGGAAAAAATGGTTAAAAGAGCAGTTCAGTTTAGAACGAGTGACGATTGCACGCGTGTATAGTATGTATGGCGTGTGAGACCACAGCCAAGGGCCGACGATCGATAGATAAAGCGAATTTATCTTTTTCATAGGCACGAAGGTGTGCATGTGGTTATTACACATGTGACACTAGTGTATACATACACTATTGTGTACTATAGGTAAGCGAGGGAATATGTAAATATAATACATGGTTCTTCCGTTACAGCGTTGGGTGTCTATACCGCGGAGATATCTACAGAGCAGATATACAGTACATACAGTTTGGTTGGAAAGTTGGCAAAAACGTTGGGAAGTTGCATGCGCGAATTTCCGGAATAAATTTCGATGCTCTCCGCTTAAATCCACCCACATTCTCGAACGTCCCCGTCCCACTATCCCCTTTACTATCGACACTTTCGACCTGCGGTATAGTGGCTGTTGTAAATCTCTAAGATCGAGGTCCTCCTTGATCGCGGTCCTCCTTTGTAAAACGAAACAATTTGAAAAACACTGACACTGCAGTTATGTTACGTACGCGTAACATAATATCTGTGCGTACCTACGACTACGTACGTATATACGATTTATCGTAAATAAAATGATCTTTCTCGGATAAAGCTCTCCCGTCGCACGTACAGACAGACGTTGACGAAAGTGTGACGTTTCGACACTTGGCACAGAAAACTTTTACGTGCGCAATGTGTGCATTATATCTTACCTGTATGGGTATATCATATAATATACCTGTACACCCACCTATACGCTTATACACCAATAATTTGAACTTGCTGTTTATTTATTACACAGCACAAGGTATGCAAGGTATCTGGTACAAACGTGTATACACGGTGATCAGTTTCCGGACATCAGTTGTCTTTTAATGTTCGAAAACATTATTTTTTTCACGGTCACGAAACGTCAATTTTTTTATTTATTAAGCACATAGTCTTTCTTGCTTCTTTAACGAACGATAAACGATAAACTAAATTATGGCAAAGTATCCTACATTTGAGAGATCTACATAATTAATTCTACACAATTTATTCACTATTAATAAATTTCATACAACCAATGCCAATATCCAATATCCAAATTTCCTTTCTTTCCTTCCTTGCGACTATAAACTGAAGAAAATTTACGTTACATTGCTACGATACCAACTACGAAAATTCGCTCGTTGCGAAAATCAAGTCTATCCTATTTCTATCAAAACGAAAAGAATTCGTCAAGGATCATTCTTAAGGATAATCCTTTAATGTGCTCTAAAAAATTCTGAATCTTTTATAAATTTACCTTATTAAATTTGGAATTTGGACTCTCCAATATATATATATATAGTCCAATATATTCTGAATGATGATGATGACAGATGTGCTGATATTGTCAGAAGCAAAATTTTCAGACCATCAAAAATAGACAGCGAGGTAAACCCAATAACATGCGTACAAGAAATTAGCTGCGCTACACAACGCGTTAAGTCTTCTGGCGAATTGTTTTCTATGGCGATGCCCGCGCCCGCGTACACATCGTTTCAGCAATAAACCCACGTTACATCTTGGTCACAAATTATCTACAATTATCTACACTACCCTTTCGTTCTACTGACGGATAAGATAGACATAACGACACCGATTAACGAAACATGAAAACTCAATTGGATACATCATTAATACATTTATAACATTCATTTACAATTTTCATTTTGTATGTATCAATTGTAAAGAAACAGTAAGCAAATGGCGATGGTTTGCTCATAAATTCAAAAATATGTTTAAAATTGTTAAAAGATTAACGGATATGTTTCTAAATTTTTAAACAAACTATGAATGCATAAATCAAAATACATACTACTCCTTTTATCAATTCAGGAAAAAGACTCTGAAAAAAATCTCTGAAAACAGTTAATCAATTTAAATTGTTGATTTTTAAATAAAAATATGCATGTACATATGTATTATCTCGCAAAGAAGATTGAAAAAAATTCGACTTATCATCTATTACAATGTACTATCGCGATCAACGTAATGTCCTGTAATTCAAAAGCTAACCTAATTCAAATAAATAATTAATTTAAAAATATCCAAATACATGATCTTTGAGAAACGATATACATTATACTGACAAAACAAGAAACAGCGACAGTACGCTAATAAGTACATACTCAGATGCACGTTGGATGGTAACAATGATGCGCATTATCGTTTCAAAAACTTCAGTATCCCTTGGCATCGATCAAAGCCAATAAAAGCTTGCCAAACGTGAATGGCTCTATGTTTAAACCGACTTGAATATTTTAACCAGCTACGCAAACATTCACTCGAGATATTGCTGTACTATATACTATATGCCACATACTATACCACATACATGTACATATCCACTATTATCCACTCCAAAAGAAGTGTCTGACTTGTCCACAGTTGTGAAATCGTTCCTTTCTTTGAACTAGTGAAGAATTATACGACGGTAATAGAGCCAGACGGTTTAGTTACCAAAAACACGATGAACATAATAAACATAAAATGTCGCCTCTTGCCAGTGGACGAAAACAAGAAACAACTTGACACGGCAGGGCGCACGATAAAATAACATTACGTAACACTTGCACCTGAGTTTGCCTATTAATTTTGGAAACGAAACGTCATTGCCGAAAGAAATTTTAAATTATCTTAAAATCAATTTGCTCGTGTTAAAGCTAATTTTTTTTTTTCTATGTTCGACGAGAGGTTCGAGAGGATGGAAAACAGACATTTTGATGGAAAATACTTGCAAATACTTGATGCTAAAAGATAGCAGCGTTCAATATTGAGCAAATAGGATAGAACATGCAGCGAATATTACAATAAATTGTATGATAACAGTGTGTCTTTGGATAAACACTAACAAGAATAAAAAGAAAATGATACATCTTTTGCTCTTATCTTGATTACTCTTTCTTTTTAACGTTCAAAGTATTTCAGTTTCACTGAATGGAACAATCACGTTACCATTACTATAAATAGAGTATTTATATAGATTTTAAGAACAGCAACAGTCTAATGTTCAATCTATTGCCAATTTTTTTAAATATTCGCTAACAAAAACATTGCTAATCTTTTCTTAAACGAGAGTAACAGTATCGGATTAAAAACACTTTGTCTATTCCATCTTAATAACGACTTATTCATCAATTATGTATTCTTTGACTCATGCGACGAGCGTCCACGAATGGCAACAGCCTGACTGACGGCAAGATAACAAAGAGAACAGAGGAGACATGTACTTGCCTACATATGTTTCTCCACGTAGAAACAAGTGTTAGCCAACGCTCGCTGAAAGTTCGATCAGAGCGATAGCATGATGAATCGGAGGAAGGAGTCCATAGAGAAGCCGGAAAAGCAGAGTACTATTCGTTTTTTCAAAGGACAACGCGAGCACGCTCGAGTCACAGGGTGAACGACCCTGGGCCGAGGAAGAGACGCGACGTTCCGACGAAGAACCAGAGAAAGAGAGTCAGGCTCGTCCGTGCACCGGCATACCGTTTATATCCTCTTCTAGTGGCACACACAACACTCGGCGACACTGCGCAACTACGTAGTCGGCGGCAGACTGGATGTGGCCGGGTTAGACCGGACCACGCATCCTCTGCCCCGCCCAATCGTCGCCCTCCTTCTTCTTTCTCGCCCCGTGCGATCCTTTCTCACGAGGAAAGAAACTACCCTTTAACGAGCCAACTCTTTCCTTTTCCGTTCCAGTCTCCACCGGACTATTTTCCTTTCTCTTCCATCTCTTTTGCCTTTCCTCACATCCCCCTTGTGTTTTACACACTTTCGTGCAAAGAACAGGTCGAGGAAATTCTTTGCACGATAAAATTAATTACAAACAAGTATAGTTACAGCAAAAACGGTTATGCCTAATTCCGTATACATGTTTTGCCTTTTCGAATTACGCTTGTGTCGAGTGACTTTAGCTGTTTAATCCCGTCTCCTTCCATTACATAGTTTGGTTATATCGTTATATTATAATTTCAAAGTAGAAACAACGCTATACACGTAAACACGTTACTTCCATTAAATTAAGTCATGTTAAAATTATCGTTATGTTGTCTGCGAGTAAAAAGATTAAACTTACGTAATTTGTAGAATTTGTAGAATTTCTAGAATTCCGATTGTAATTTTAATGCCGCTTTCCTTTTCCATTCCAACCGATTTCATCATCACTCTGTCCTCTTTCTTTCATAAATTTAAAAAATTATGAAAATATTTTAATCCCATAATGTTTAGCGAGTTGAATGTAAATAAAATATATAATAAAGGAAAACTTACAGGGTATGGTCATGGTTGATATAACAAGGATGTAAAAGTAGGAGATATCCGGTGAATGGCACGTGTATACGTCATTGAATCTGTATCTGATTGTACGTAGTAGAGCAGTCGAGTCTCCTGTTGAAAAAGATTTGAAAAATTAAATTATCTAACTTTTAACATGTCACGTTATCAAATCACTTTCAACAAATGAAACAAATCATCGAATTATTAATACTCCTGATACAGTGAAACATTATTGTTAATAATAAACTTTTAACAATAAGAAAAAATGTACATGTATAGGATATTTTATAAGATATTCAATGATATTCAATGATTCAAGTTTACAACGCCGAGAAAAACACTTTATAATCGAAAGATATATCTAAACTTTTCAATTATTCTACTACATGCTTAAAATATTACAACTTGTGATATTATTTAAATTATCTATAAAATTTTAGAATACTTAAAAATATTTTTCATTTTACGTGTTATATTATCTCTTCTTTTCAGGACTATATCAGGATATATGTGCAAACAGTTATTCTATTAATAAATTAAACTGAAATTAATTAATAAATTAAATTGAAAAGTGATTGAAAATGATAATACAATTGACATGCATATATATATATATATTTTTTTTCTCTCTAATAATAAGTTAGTTAATAATAAATCAATTCGTATTTTACTTTTCGTAAAATAATTATTAAAACAATGAAAAATTTGATTATTCTTCTCATTTGTATATAACAATACACGACCGATATTGAAATTGTTGTCTTTAGTGTATGTTGGTGTATGTTAGTGTAAATTACATAAATTTTATTAAATCTGATTCTCGCTTTCATGCTGAAAAGAAATAATCATATATACATGTACACAAATTCGACTAACGTAATTATATAGTGGTATATTAAAAAATTAAGATATGAATTATGAAAAATAAATTACTTGCTAATATTTCGCATCTTTCTATTTCTTAGCACGTCGCTGTTTAATATAATACTGTTTAATAACGTTCGTCCAATTTTCATTTGAAATTTCTGTTACAAGCAGAGACATCTTACCGTACCAGTGAATAACTTGTCAACTACATACATGATCATTGATCATGAACAGAATAGACCCAATATTTAATGCTTTTTCATGTCCCACCATTGACTAAAGACAAAGTAGATCTGACATACAATGAATTATCGGTATCGAATCTCGAGCGAGATTCACTATCGAAATCATCACTGTCGAATCGAAGAATGTTGGAAGAAATCTGTAACAAAATATAAAATATTGTAGCTTGATTTTAAACACAATCTTAATTATTTGGAAATATTCTTTTTTTCCATTCATAGTTTTCTTGCTCTTTCTATAAAGTATCGGGAAAATATTTCTTTCTCAAAATTACCAACTAATTATTATTCCTTTGTCATAAATAAAAAATATCTTATTAAGCATACAATAAATATCTTATAACTTCTGTATACGTTTGTTTTTAGACTGACTTTAAATTTGATCAATATAATTACAATAGTCGTGCCTCATTGCAGTACTAGTATTGTATAAAAAATACATTCGCTTCTAATCAGTAATTGAATTAAATATATTTAAGTAATCTCTTTAAACAATATTTACTGTTTTAAATCGTAAACGTATTCGACATAATACAATGCCTTTGTATTATGAATATTTCAAGATTCTTAACATTATCGTAAAAATGATCAATATATGTTGTTAGTATCGATCACTTGAGAATTTCTTACTTACCAGAACGTTGGAAATCGTTTTCAAATATTGACAATATACATATATTCGTCGCCTGAATGCTCCATAACGCTTCTACATTATTCTCTCACACGCGAGATCATAGATTATATATGTAGATTGATCCCGAGAAATTATATCGATTACAATTGACTGTCAAACAAGACTGATTAACTCCAATATTCTGTACTGTATTCCACTGGCGTTGTAATCTTTATCTAATTTAAATCATCGCGCGCACATTTCAAACGAAAATGCTTATATTGTCCAATTGAAAAAACAAAACACAAAAAACTCTTTCCTCCAATTCTTGTTTGTGAAATGAAACAGTTAACTCAGCAATTATTTCTTAAATTTTTAACTAAAATAATGAATAAGCATGTTTCAATTTTAAATCTTAATTTTAAGTTTCATCAGTTTATTGAATTTAATTTTGATGGTGCATAAAAAATGAATGTTCCTTCGTATTTAAACGATTTTATTTCTTAAAATAATTTCCGGTATATTCAATAAAATATTTTTTTTATTTATTTTATTCATTTAATTTCATTTTATAATATTGTTTCCGAGAAAAATATGTAAACATCTTCTTATTACGTTACGACAGCTTCAAATGTTATGTGACCTTTAGCGATCGAAATCACCAACAATAATCCACAGCATAATAAGAAAAATGTTTACTTATTGCTTTGTTGTCTTTAATTTTACCGCCTTCATCGAGTTGAACATAATTCTTACGTTTGTTGTAGCAAATCATAGAGGGCGTAAAGAACATTTCGATTGTTTTCAAGATCGATATTTCAAAAGATGTCTGTTCTGTTGCTAGTTAATGACTATTAATCCCACCATAGAGAATTGGTACAGTGAATTCAATCCAAAAGTAAAATACAATACAAACGTTGTTTGTTCTTTCAGAAAAATATGGACTTATTTGTATGCAACAACTGTTTCACCACACCACATAGGGGAAAAAAACCATTTTGTTTGACTCAGTGTGGTCACATATACTGTAATGGATGCATACGACAAGGCAATAATAAACAAAATAAAATGATAGATATTACTCGTATTATCTAACATATATGGATATAGATATAAATCTTTTTTCTCTTGCATAATTTAGCTGAGAAACAATGTCCACAATGCCAACAGATTGATATTTTTTCTGTGGAATTGCAACAACCATCATTGTCGAAAGTAGAGAATTTTTTTGTTCCGTTGAACGAATCGTTGGAATTGTTACAAAAAACATCTGGTTTTCAAAATAATCAGATAAAAATTACGATAGAACGCTTTCACGAAATCGTGTGTTTCTGTATTTTTAGTTTTCTTTCCTTTCCTTTTTCGTTTTCCTAATTTTTTACACATTCAACTAAAAGAAACATAAATTTTCAAGGATAAAAAGTATGAAATGTTGAAATCCCATTATTATAATTTGACTCAAAACATGAAAGCAATTAAAGACAAATACATTAAGCTGAAAATGGAGAATATCGAACAAAAAAAGAAACTGATGTCTTTCGAGATTCAAAATTCGAGATTCAAGACTTTAAACTCTTTCAGCGATACATCTACACCAAAATCTAGCAACCAAAGAAGGTTGAGAACAAGGTGCATAAATAAAAATTTAAAATGTCAAAGGCCTCTAAAAATGATTCACAGTTTAAACGTTTTTTTATTTTTTGTAGACCTACATCAAATTCATACATTTCGTCGTGTGGAACGAACGCATCGAATAAATCGTTTAATACAACAAAGGGAAAGGCGATGCTCGAAAGTTTTCGTATCCCTTTCGATCCTCGCACAATACGATCAATTGATTCTCGTGGAACTTCAAACGCTACAAATTCTACTTATCTTTAAATTCTCAACAAGATTATCAATGATTAATCAAATATTTTTAATTTATCTATTTTCGCAATAAAAACAACTGTTTTGTTTTCATAAATTGTTAATTTGTTTTCTTATTAAATTGTTAAAAATATAATAATAATAACATCTGTACAATGTAACATGTAAGATTGTACAAAGTAACAATAAATAGAGATATTCACTTTATTGCTGCACAATCGTTCAAACGAATTCAAACGAATTCATTCTCAGATTTTCAAAAATATATTAAAAAATATATGAAATGTATAAAATATGTACATAAAATGTCTTTATTCAAAAAAGATATATTATGCATTTTTATTTGCACAATATAAAAATATTACAAGTTACTCGTTTGTTACTCGTTTGTTAAAATGTTCGAATCGAATTAATCGTGACTTTGTACTAAATATTAAAATATATGTATTTGTTTTCCGATGGAATGACTTTGAAATACATTTAAACGTGAACTTGTTATCGTTTAAAATTCAATTTACATTTTCTTATCATAGATCGAACTAAATTCTAAATCACACACGATACTCGAGATGTTGGTACACGTATCAGAGAATAAGTAGATTACAAACACAATTACATTTTAATTAAACAATTCCACGAAAATAATATTTATTGCATAATTTTACAGTAAAAACAACAAATGACACAAAAATATTATTCCAACGATAATGTTGGATAAATTTTTAATCAAGAACTGTATTGTGTTTTGTACTCGTCTAGGTTAAACTCTTATAAACGTGTCTCCTAGTTTAAATCAGTAATAAAATTTTTAATATATCAAATGACAGCACATAAATGTTTAGAAACACCAGACAAACAATTTGCTCTTGTTATGTCATTAATAGTAAGTAACAATATATTTATTTACAAGTATTTAAATTTGAGATGTTTATAGAAGATTTTCGCGATAAAAAAAAATGAATTTCCAAATATAATAAATTGTAACAACAATTGAGTGTTATCTACTGGCCAAATTACTTTTTAGCTTAATTAGTATTTTAAAAATTTAGATTTTATTCTTTATAATATTGTTTAAATAGGCAGGAGGATTGGCTGGTACGTCTGTCGACGTGATACTACATCCACTAGACACATTAAAAACACGTTTGCAATCTAAGCAGGGATTTGTAAAATCAGGAGGATTTTCTAATCTTTATAAAGGAATTCTTCCTGTTATTATTGGATCTGCACCTAGTGGTAAAAACATACTACAGTATGAAGTCATATAAATTTAAAAATACACACATCTACATATAAATTAAACCTTTACGATACTTTAGCATCACTATTTTTCTTAACGTATGAAGATATCAAAAGTAGAACGCAATGTAAAGTACCTGAGAAATATCATTCTTTGCTTCATATGTGCTCGGCATCTCTAGCAGAAATGGTAAATTTTGGAGAAAAAAGGAATTAATGAAATTGCAATCAAAAATTAAATTCTAATCGTACATTATGCAATTTGAACAAAGGTAGCCTGTTTAATAAGAGTACCTGTAGAAGCAGTAAAACAAAGGAAGCAAGTTTCAATACTGGATAGACAAGATATTAATTTTAGAATATTATATTATGGTTATTGGAGCACTGTGCTAAGAGACATGCCTTTTAGTTTGATACAATTTCCAATTTGGGAATATTTTAAGAAAGTTTGGAAATCGCATGTTGATAGAGAGACTCTTCCAATAGAAAGTGCAATATGTGGAGCAATTGCAGGTTCAAAGTTTTAATAATTTGTTAAAGTTTTGCTTGATATGTAATTAATACCATATTCAAGTAGTATTTCTGCTACCATTGCTCGAGATACAATTAATTCCATTGTTTAGGTAGTATTTCTGCTACTCTTACCACGCCACTAGACGTTACGAAGACAAGAATAATGCTTTCACATAGAAACGAGAGTGCTTCAAAATTAAAAGTGCTATACGTGTTAAAAGACGTATATAGAGATAAAGGTTTACGTGGGTAAGTCTTGTAATTTGACTTGTAACGAATAATTCTTTAAACTTGTCGTTGATTCGTTTTTACAATTACAAAACTTTGTAGACTTTTCGCTGGTGTGGGTCCCAGAGTAACGTGGATAACAGTTGGAGGATTTATCTTCTTTGGAACTTACGAAGGAGTAAAAGCTATAGGAACAAAGTACTGTTTATTTGTATAGAATGTCTCTAAGAAAAATATCAAATTGTACGATTTCCTGATTATTTATTATTACAAAATATGTTACAAGAGAATATATAAAAATATATATTACGATAATTTTCAAAGGCTTGCTATAAAAATTATTAGCATTTATACTTAACAGTAAACTTTAAAAAATCCGCAACAATACATTTAATGTAAAAATATTTTTATCTCTATCATATTTAATTCTTAAAGTTTAGACTTTAAAAGATTCATCAATTTTTCCAGTTTCATTGCTTTCTGAAGATCTCCGCTAATTCGCAATTTACCCAGTACAAACGCCGAGGTTGGTTTCAATTTTCCTGAATAAATGTAAATCATCTTACGTTATTTCAGATTTAACCTGCTTATTACGTAGACACATTTTAATTACCAGAAAACATGGCAAAAAAATTATCAGAATCCATCGTCAGTGTAGCATCTGGTGATTGACTAGGTTCTCCTCTACCTGCCGAACCTTGACCAGTTTTGAGATCCAAAAACCATGTACCAGCTTCGTTACCTATTAACTTTATATTAATCCATATGGTTCTAGAAAGATTGTATTTTATCTCTTATTTATGTCTTATACCTTTAACGTTGAATTGAAATATGGCCCCTGTTTTGTTAACAAGATCACTATTCAAGTTTGCTCGAATAACTTCAAATATTTGTGCAATTTTTTCGTCTGATTTGTTAGCACCCTGTAAATCTTTTTGCGTCGCTTTATGTAACGTATAATCTTGCGAACCTGTCTTTATATTTTCATCCACGAAGAAATCCAGCATCAAATTACCTTTATTTTCTAAGGAAAAGGAAACAAATATTTATATTTCTGCAGTAATCTTTTACTATACTATAAAAATATTATATTAAAATTCGATGTACCTGGATTGCACGCGTAATCTGTGAAATCCGTAATTCCTTCGTTTCGTAATATTTCCTCGTCAATTAAAAACTGTCCAGTAACAGATTTACTATCTTTACAAATCAAAGCGTACACAGCGTCTCCCATTATTTCGGGTTTACGGCTATAATTGCTCGATTCAGCACCGGATAACATTGCAACCGCGGCAGTATAAATAGCTGAAATAAAGATATACTTATCGTTAGATATAGCAATAAACATGGGAATAGAAAAATAACGAAACAAAAAAATAAATAATTTACCTGTCCTTGGCCATACAGTATTTACAGCAATGCCACTATTCTTAAATTCCTCAGCCATGCCGAGAGCGCACATTGACATTCCATATTTAGCTATTGTATATGCAACATGATTTTTGAACCATACTGGTTTCATACTTAATGGAGGACTGATGTTCACTATGTGAGGATTTTTGCTTTTTTTTAAGTAAGGTAAGCATGTCTTAGACCTTAAAATGGACACCACAGTGCTGTCATTTGTGATTTACGTTTATACGCATAATTCATAGCGAATTTTTATACTTACACTAAAAATGTTCCCCTAGTGTTAATATTATTCATAAGATCATACTTTTTCATGTCCGTAGATTCTGTGCCTGTTAAAGAAATTGCACTTGCATTATTAATAACAATATCAATACCACCAAATTTTTTGACGGCATTCTCTACTGCAGAAACTACTTGTGTTTCGTTTCTTACATCAACAATACAAGGCAATGCTTTTCCACCTGCTTGCTCGACTGAAACAAACAAATTTCTTCAACAAAGAAAGTGTTGTACGTTAAAATGTGGAATAATTAATCAATTAACTATCGTTTGATATTTTTTATTGTTCTTATAATTACTTTCTTCAGCAGCAGTATATATAGTGCCTGGTAATTTTGGATGTGGTTCTGCAGTCTTAGCTGCAATGACAATATTTGCCCCATCTTTTGCTGCTTTCAAGGCAATACTCTTCCCAATTCCTCTTGACGCGCCAGTAATAAAGATCGTATATCCAGCAAGCTTTCTATATCAAATATTTAAACACAAAGTTTATATAATGTTATGTAAAATTAACAGTCATTAAGAACATACATTTATATTCATTATATTTGTATATATGAAAATGTACATCTATTGTACAAAAATATATAAACTGTAATAAATTAAGCTAACAATGCAACATGTATATTTTCTCCTCAAATATAATGTATAATAAAATTTACAACTTAATGTACAATTGAGTTTAGCGTAAAAAAACATTTGTGATACAAACCCAGTATTGATCATATTGCAAATGCTATGTACGCAGATCGAGGGACTATCATAAGTATGAATACCGTTGTAACGATTGGACTACGTTCGAGTTTGCTAATAACGACTGAATAAAATATGAAGGGACAAATTTCACTTTAAACACTGCACGACTGCATAACACGGTTCAACGGTTCCATTTGTGGACTTTGATTAATCGTCAATGCTTTAAGATTATCATTTTTAACAACATGGTGGCGAATACCTATATAGAACAATGAAACACATTTAAATTAAATTCTATTGTTCTATTGTTCTATTTTTTTTTTTTTATGTCTTTGACAATTTTAAATATTTCTGAATAAATATCAGATTAAGAAAGAAATTTTTTAATCAAAAATACCTTACCTTATGCGTGTTGTATATGTTATACAGTGTATACCGTTTAACAGGAAACAAGTAGAATAGGTATCTTAGGTATAGGTATCGAAGAATTAAAGTTGTCAAAAAAATGGAACAGAAGTTGTTCCATACGAAAAAAAAGATGGTATAATACGATGCAAATTATGTTTTCAAATATAATTTCGTACAATTTCGAACGCAGTAGTTGATTTATCTGAGCATTCTCTGTTGTAAAAGTGTTAACCTATTTATACATGTTTTTTGTGAAACCTTGAAAACAAGGAAAGACATGAATGATATTTCTCACGTGTTTACATTGTCCTTGTCTTTTATGCGATAAGCTCTACAAAATTAAAATGAAAATATGTATCTCCTAAATCAGGAAGAAGTTTACACAAAATGGAGTTGACAATTTTATAGATCATTCATCTATAAAGTAGTTATATATAAAGAATTACTTTCATGTTGATGTATCAACATGTGTGGAATATTCTGTAGCATTTCACAAAACCATAAAAAAGATAGTATACAAATTTCACGCGAGGTACTATTATTAAATATATGGTATGATTACATTTGTTATTGATAAGTTGTAATATTGTTTTTTGCATCCTTTTAGTGGGAAGCCTGCAAAAATTTAGTAATTGCTCGTGGTCCTGACAGAGTGATTGAAAAATTTGAAAATTTAACTCCAATCTGGTTTGGACACTTTGTTGCTGCTGTATTATGGATGCAAGGTTTAGATTTATGTGAACAACCTGCCATAGATTCTGCTGGTAATATTCTTCTTTGGAATGGTGATATATTTTCTGGAAATTTGGTAAATGTTGTATATATTATGCACATATATAAATTGTACAGTAACTCTTTAATATATTAAAAAGTTATTGAACAATTGTATCATTTGTATCAGGCTCAAGACAATGCTTGTGATACCAATGTGCTATCATCTGCTCTACAATCATCTTTAAATGTATTGTCAGTGTTTCAAGAAATTCAAGGCCCTTATAGTTTTATATATTTTCAAAAATCTACCAATCTTCTGTATTTTGGCAGAGATATTGTTGGCAGACACAGTTTACTTTTAAAAGTAAACACCGATGAAAATACTTTAACGTTAACGTCCGTTGCCAGTAAAGAAGTAAATAAAATCATAGAAATTCCTGCAATTGGAATTTTTGTTACGAATTTAGATAATTCAAGAGTGAATCTTGCGTGTTATCCATGGAAGGAGCCAGATTTGCATTTCACTGATATCATCGAATCATTAGAAACACATTTGGGTGTGGATATTGATATTAAAAAAACCATATTAAAATCAGACGCATCAACAAGTTTACATTTACATCCTAATATCAAGGACTTGGATTATATGGAAAATAGCCCTTACTTGGAAAATTCTTATAAAACGTTAGGATATTTGTTAGAAGATACAGATATCCTTGAAAGAGTGGATCATTTATTGCAACTTCTTTACAAAGCTGTAGAAGTTAGAATAAAGAAACAGCCTAGATTTTGTAAAACATGCATCAAATTAGTTCTAAGTAAGAAAGATGTCGCATGTGATCATTCAAAAATAGGTATATTATTTTCTGGCGGCTTAGATTCTGCTATTTTAACCCTAATTGCCGATAAATACGTATCGCAATATGAACCTATCGACTTGATAAATGTAGCGTTTGAAAAATCAGTTAATGCATGTAGTAAATCCAACAAATCCAACGAAAATAATGAAAAAGAAAGTACAGACGACCAATATGACGTTCCTGATAGAAAAACTGGGAAGCAAACGTTTCTAGAACTCTCAAAGATTTGCCCGAAACGGAAATGGAATTTTGTAGAAGTACGTTAAAATATATATTTTGAATTATCTTTTGATTCTATGAAAGATATTCCAATAGTTCATTTATATCAATCGTTCTAGGTAAATATCAGTCAAGCAGAATTACAAAAATATCGTTCATCACGAATTTGTAATTTATTACATCCGCTATGCACTATATTAGATGAAAGCTTAGGTTGTGCTGTGTGGTTTGCAAGTCGAGCAAAAGGCACAATTCATTCAAGCGCGAATATCTACGAATCCCCGTGTAGATTACTTCTCTTAGGCATGGGTGCAGATGAATTATTCGGTGGATACATGAGACACAGAACGATATTAAGACACAAAGGTTGGGATGCTTTAACGCAGGAATTGAACTTTGAAATAGCTAGAATTTCTGAAAGAAATTTAGGCCGTGACGATCGTATTGTGTCGGATCATGGAAGACAATCTAGACTGCCATACTTGGATGAAAACGTAATAGAATATGTTCAAAGATTAAAACCTTGGGAAAGGTAAATTAATAAAATGAACATGCAAAGAAGAATAAGAAATAAAACAAAATTATATCATTCAATTGTTTGTAGATGTTGTCCAACAGATAAAATGCCATCAGGCTTAGGAGACAAGTTACTTTTGCGTTTAGTGGCATATAAACTTGGCTTCCGAAATACTGCTAATTTTCCTAAGAGAGCTTTTCAATTTGGATCCCGAATTGCTAATGGCAAAGAAAACGCTAGAGATATATCGGGTCGCTTGTAAATTTATTATTAGTACGTACAATATTTCTCTTCTTTTTTTTTTCTTCCTTTCTTTCTTTTTGATATCGCCAAATGAAACGTAAACGATAAATTATAAACTCATTCACGACTTGTTTCAGATATTGTTCAACATAGAAGGGAGAAAACGTTAATACACGTCTACCCACCTACCTACCTACCTACCTACCTACCTACCTACATGCATACATTACATATACTCCAAAAATCATTAAAATAATGATACTTGTGTATAATTAACTTTAATGAATTGTACACTACAAGACTGATGTAATGAGCATCAATAGATTCATAATATGTATAATGCAAATGTAATGTTTGAAATGGACAGATCGTTTAAAAAAAATTTGTTGACTTTTTCCTCTATACGTAGACAATAATTTAGCAAATTTCTTAAAACGATTTGAATGTTTGGCAGTAAATCAGCCAATAACAATTTTTTTGAATTTATTAGACTCCATTTTAAAATTATGGATTAGTTTTTGACAAAACTATGTTGTATTTATTTTATATTTTTCATGTTTCAATGCAGCATGCATATGTGACTAAGCAATTGATGACATAGCGTAAACCATGTGTATAAACAATTGGTATGTTCAACAAAGATTGTAAAATTACATGTACGAATTTTATTTTACGAAATGTGAAAATAAAATATTTCAATAACAGATCTTCTGTTTTGTATTTAATATATGCTTCCCTATATTATTTCTTGCAGAGTTTATATTTTACATGCATGCACGTATGTATAGCACATATCAAGAGTAATTTAATTTTCGCGGGTAATAATGATTACATGCAAACACAAAGTAATTTGATAATTTTTCATGTAAATTGCGATAAAAATGATGTAAAAAATAAAATTGGACATTTGACATTGGATCTTTCATGAGAGAAAATATACATACATGTGAAAATTGAAAATTGAGAATTGAGGTTAATTCATTAACATATCGTTAAAAAGTATTTTCCTGGTTTCATTGTATAAGTGTAAATATATTTATATTTTTCCGTCCAAATTGTTTATTTACATTTTAAAATTACCAATCAAAGAACTTAGCAATATGTCGGAAAGTACAGTTTACTTGGATAGAGAGTTACGAAAATTAAAACCAGCAGAATTGTATAAACTGGCTCAAATATTATGTATACAGGATTCCTGGAAAAAATTAATGGCAATCATACCAAAGGATGATGATTCTGATCTTCCAAAATTTAACATTGAACATATTAGGTATAGCTTGAAATACTTAAATTCTGTACTTCTGTATTACACATGACAAAAAATAAACCAAGTTTTTTATTTATTATCTTGAATCTTCACAGTATGATCGAACAGGCTGCTCAACAACAGGGAAATGCAGTAGAAATATTTTTGTCAGAATGGGGAACAATGGGTAAAAAGAGACCAACATTGCGTTTCTTATTAAACCTTTTAATAAAGGCTCAGTTATTTAGAGCTGCTGATTATGTGGCTGGAGAACTACTAAATGGTACAGTAAACAAAATATTTTTGTATAATTACGGTAACTTGGACAAATTATTATTTTCTTTCAGAAGAACTGCCAAAACGGCCACAATTTGGACCAGCAGCACCTGTAGATATTTCGGAAGAAATAAACAGAGTATCATTAAAAGACAATGAGAAACTTGAGAACCTTAATTACAATGAATCTTTGATATTTGGATTAGCTTCCCAAGTTGTTGACAATGAAACAATTAATCCTAATGCAACGAATAATAGTTCTTTTGAAAGAAATATGCAATCAACAAAATTGATTTCTTCAGAAGGGGAACACAATAAAGAGCAATTACAAAATGACAAGGAGACATCAAATGCACAAATTTCAGATCTGATGAAACTCAATAGCAAAGGAAACGCAGAAAAACCCAGAAAACAAAAACAAATATTTGATCAACAGGAAATGTCGTCCGACGAATTGCCTGTCTTTTTAAACGAGTTTGAACAATCTGTCGAACAAACAAAATTTAATCGAGAAGTACCATCAGAAGAACTTCCTCTTTTCTTGAACAATAACACGACTTCGTCAAATGAAATGTCGAATTATAAAATTAACGATTTATCCAATTGTAAACCGAACAATTTATCCAATAGGAATCGAAACGAAATAACTTCTACCGAATTACCTCAATGTATTGTTGAATTTCGTGTAAATAATGTATTTGATTCGAATAATAGTTGTGGCCCCGAAAATTACGCAAATATAGCACAAAATGCAGTGAGTTCGACAGAATTACCGATTACAGTATTAGAATATAACGAATAATATAAGTTTTAATTGGATTTAATAGCTATACTTTTTCCGTTTGTGATTTCAAAATATCGAGCACCATATACGGATACGTATTTTTACAAGAAAACATATTTATAAAAAGAAAGTCATATTTTGATATAAGTAAATTAATTTTTTATGAAAGCGTACGGATATTATGTTACACTATGGACAAATACACATGCAGGTTTATTATTTAAAATCTACGGTGTATGAAAATAAATATTATAAATTATATATAAATTTATTTCATAAAAAATATACCTTTTTCTTTCTTTATATATTTAATCTTTATATAAATATTATATTAAAAATCATATACATACACTTTTCAATATTAATATATACAATAATAATTTAGTAAATGTTTTTAAATGTATATATTACGAATATTATTATGATATCTATAATTAAATTTACGAATATAAAGGAACTTTAAAGGTACATCACATTGTGCAATAATACATGAAATGGATACAGTGATACGTGTAACTTTCAATACAATGAGAAGACTTAATTAAGTCTTGATCAAAGTCAAATAAGAAAAACAAAATTACCTAGCAAATGTGTCAAAAAATGCAAATATGCATGTCTGTAGTTTATCCATCGCTATTGTTACTCTGTTTCATCGTGAAATAGACGCTTTGAAGCTCTTTAAGATTGCTTTCTAACGTTGCAACTTCGTCATACCTGCAATCTGCTCTAGCTTGCTTAATGTAGGCTCGAAGATTACTCATTTGCTCAATTATAGGGTCCATAGAAGAAGGCATTATAGGAGCAACGCTAGAAGGACCCCAACCTTGCGACTGATCCAGTACCACGTTTGGCTATTTGAATACAATATCGATAGTGTTAAGTTAAAAATAGAAATCTTTCAATTTTTTTTCTTTCTTTCATTTATTTAATAAATTATTATCACCTGATTCTCTTTCATAATAGGTCGAATTTCGAGATTCCACGTTTCCTTTCTACGTTGCTCTTTCGACCTTTCTCTCTGTTCCTCTTCCAATTGTCTTTCATACGCAATTCTAGCTTCTATGCGTCTTTGTCGTTCTTTTTGTAATTCCGCATATCTCTCTTCCGAAGGTAAAGCTTGTACGCTTAATAATTCTTCTTTTAAAAAGATCATTGCAGACACTCTAACCATATGATGTAATCGAAGTTCTTGATCCTGTGGTGGATTCTCTACGCATCTCGTCCCGAGTACTGAAATTCTTTTACTAATTAAATCTATATTCTCGCCTAACTTTGCGATCTTAATTCTTAAAGCTTGAGCATCTTCTAAATTATACGTAGATTCTCCCTCACTGAAAAACATATTTAGCTTCATACAAGTAATTTTGTACTAGGAACAATGTGAAATTCTACGCAAATATTACAACGTTACAAATGTTCATTCTACAATAATTGTATCACGTACTTTAAAGATTCCCACATTTTGTTGTACATTTTCACGTGTTGCGAAGCTTCTTTCATATACGCTCTCATCTTTTCGTAAAATTGACACACTATCGGTTTATCAAAATGCTTTGCCTTTTGTTTTTCTCTTGCATCGAGCAGATTCGCGCAGTGCGTACAAATTCTGAAATGTTGCTCGCTACCTGTTGAATCATTGACCAAGGACAGTACGCTATTTAAACTACCACTGGATGGTGATCTTGCCAATTTTGTAAGACCAATACCCGCACGTACTATACGTTCCGAAATTGGTCGTTCGGAAGTTGGAGATACTGCTGAATCATCTTGTACAGATACAGGACTTGTCATTTTCTCTAGAAACAAACAATTCAATTTCTATAAAAAATTTTTTTTTCAGAGATTTTTTTTAATAAATTTGAAACTACCAACTTGCATCTTGTAACGACAGAAATATCGTACAATTGTGACACATAACAGCTCCACAAAGTCGGCAGTGATGTTTTCTCCTTGCAACATGAAAACTTTTTGCACAAATAGGACACAATTTTACATCTTTATCGTCTATCCATGGTACAATAGTGCGCTCATGGACTATTATAAAAAATAAAGAAAAATATTAATTCGATTTTCATTATGAAATAAACAAAATTACTTGCGCTCTACCTTTTCTATCAACTGGATCAGTCGGTAAATTGTTTAATAATTTATCTAGCCTTATCAGAAGTTTATTTGTTTCCGTAGAGTATCGCTCTAATCTCATATTTCTTATTTCTTTAAAGTACTTTGTATGCGATCTCATCATACCTGAAAATCATTGATACATGATATAAATTACGTAACACTTTCTTTTTCATTACGATACATTTATAATTCTACAAGTAAAAAAGATAATTTTTACGTATACAGCGTTACTGGATGCGTGATTGTTTTTTTTTTTTTTTTTCAAATTGAACTATAAGTTTGTCAAACATTAAACTTCTTAACACGAATCAATACCTATTTCTTGAGGTTCCCAATTAGATTCTGGGCTACGTTGTAGTCTAGTAGTTGATGGTATGCTATTTGCGAAAGAATATGATATTTCATCTTGTTTTAATATCTTCTTCTTGGCCTTACCAAAAAGATCTAAAAAGATAAAACGATAAGTATTTATTATTGACACATTTACATTTCTAAAATACATGTATGTACGTTCGTACGAAATATATGCCTCAAATCTTTATAACGTATCAACACTCTAAGTTTAATAGTCAGGTTTATTTTATTTTTTACCTTTAAGCGACTTTAAAATTTCTGGATCATCGTTATGGAAATCCTCGAAATGTTTCGTTAATTGTATAGGTGCTTTAAAATCTGTCACACATATTGGACAAAGAAACCCTTCCAATACTTCTTCACTACCAGCCATTATAAAATTCGATATTTTTAAAACTTTCACTATTTTTCTTTGTAATCTCTTTCTAACTCACACTCGACACACATAATCATTTGTAAGTAGGCGTCTCTCTCCGACAACGTGCTTTCTAAGCGGCCATATTGAATCCTATCAGCTGATGGAAATGTCAAATTTCTTTTATGCAATATAATTTGGTAAAAGTTACATTTTTGCAATCTATTTCTCGCAAAATCACTTTTGATAAAATTATTTTTTTGTAATTCCAAGGATAATTAAAGCTATTTGAAATTGTACAGATCATTTATTTGATAAATGTACAAATCGATAGTACCTATGGATATTTAGCAAGATGTTATACATCTGTCGTAAAAATATTTCATGAATAATTTAGCAATAATCGAATAGTATAACAATGGCTTAACGATAATTACATTTCTACTTCTTATTAACAAATAAAACAGTTGTTAAATTTGATTTTGTGCGCAATAGGAAAACTTTTATCGCGCTACCGACAATTCAAACAATCTATCTCCTAAAATTCGAAATTCTTCCGAGGCTTCGCAGTGCTGTAAAAGATTACTGTTAATTTTCTCTTCTCCGTAAAATGCGCCAGCTATGGCCCCAGTCATACTACCAATAGTGTCCGTATCACCACCTAAACTGATCTGAAAAATAATTTTTATATGTTTACATAAATATCTTTCGACTGTAATAAGAAAATTATTAATACAAGTAATATTAATTGTACTTACAGCATATTGAACAGCTCTTCTGAAGGGATTGTCCGTTTGTATACCTGTGATTGGTTTTTGTGCTCTTAGGAAACAAAATATCGCAGTAGGCACCGAATACAAAGCTGCAACGCTATTTCCTAACTTTTGTATTACTTTTTCATCGCGCAGGCCCTCATCGTTTTCAGATATCAGTGATTTTACTATACATAATTGTACTTTGTACGGTTGTGGTTCTGATAAACCTAATCTATGAAATGCCACCATTTTAAGCAAATAATGATTTTTGAAATTGCTATATCACTCATATCACAAAATATACATACCCTTCTTCATCTTTTTCTATTTGATTCATTTTACAAATCAAATCATCAATAAAATTTATTACGTTTAACTCTTCATTTGGATCTAAACGAAGACTTTGATAAATTGCTGTTGCCTATGAAAAAGAATAGAAAGCTGAGAATGAGATTAAAAAAAAAAAGTTGCTCTGCAAATTTAGAGAAAATATTACAAATATAGTTACTTGTAAAATAGCCCCATCTATTCCAACTTTATGAGTATGAGTAATCTGAGTCACATTCCTAACTGTATCTAAAAGTTTATCATAGTTTTCATAAGAAAACAACGCAGCAGGCGCAACTCTCATCGCACCGCCATTTCCCCATGAGCCTTGTCCATTAAATTGTTCTTTGGCTGGACTTGAAATGTCTGTAAATTTGTTACCTCGTAATTTTTGGAATACCTTTAAAAGAATTTGGGTCAATTTTTGTGTCAAAATTACGAAATTATAATAATAATAAACTCAACATCATACCGTTATAACACCCATACCATAGCCTCGATTAGGTTCTTGATAGTAACATTTAACAAATTTCTTTGCAACATCGACAACATCTAATTCCTTCTGATCAATCAGAGATTTGGCCAATGAGTTCGTCATAGCAGAGTCATCTGTAAACTGCATGACAGGTGCTATAGAATAAAAAAATAAAAAAAAATTATCTATATCAAAATCACCGAGCAAGGTACAGTTATTTCTACATCTTATTTTTAGACGATGTGTTTCTTTTTCTTTTTTTACCTTTGAATGGTGGCCCCTCCAATTTATCAAATGATTTTTGCAAAACTAATTTCATGCCGCTTGTCAGCTGATCACCGTTATCATAAGGACTACCAGTGCAATCACCAATTAAAACACCAAGCATCGAACCACGAAATTTACTTCTTAATAACGATAAATCCATTTTTGCCATAATCTTACTTTATCTCAAATTCTTTGACTTAGACGTGGAAGTTTACGAACTTTTAATGCAGAAGACCCAGGTGTGATGTTTGAATTTATATCGGTAACTATAGCATTAAGAATATTTTTAGCTGGATAATTATAAAATGAATAATTATAAAAGAAAGATAATTGTAAATGTCAATAATGTAAATATCAATTTATGGACATTTAATTACATCATTGATGTAATGTACATTGACACCAGACGAGATATCCGGTAATCATATCTCGTGTCGAATCGGCAACACTACAAATTGCGTACATATATAAAACGGTAACATTCACTTCGAATGGTAAAAAGCGCAAGATATTGAACATCGATCAAGATTTCAAGACTTTTACAAGAAGTTGTCGACACATTAATGATTCCCTCAAACCGCATTATCTCAGATTCATTTTTTTTTTTTCTTTTTATATTTATACAAAAATATATATGCTAGTAAGTATGATTACGTTAATTTCGTTTGCGATTAATACTATTAGAGTGTTTGAGAAATTCGTCCACAGTGTTTTTCATAATTGATATTTACACTCTCGTTCTCTCGTTTCTATTAAATTTTGTTCTTTGAATTTCATAAAAATAAATTTTTGCTTCAAATTCGAACTTTACAAGCAATGTAATATGTTAAAATAAATAAAAAGTTGTTTGAGATTCTCAATCTCATAAAAATTTTTAAGAAATTTCAATGTAAATTGCAACGTTTGAAACTTATAACAACACATTTATCGAGATAACCTAAATGTGTAAACGCGCGCTCGAGCGGCTGATAAACACACAAAAGTATTGTAAACTGTGAATGCGAATAAGGTTAAGAAGGTACACAATTGTAAATCAGATAGTTACATATGTTACGATTCATTCGTTGTTTACACAATAAGTAACCTAGGACCAATATAACTCGTATTAGTGATTTAAAACTAATAAAAAATATCTTTTAACAATACTATGAACTCGTAACGTATCATCGAAAGTGTAGATACTACGTACATTAGAACGAAAGATGAACATCGCAGATGTACATTGTCGCCAAATGTTTCGTTGCAACAGTAATTTTTTGACGTATATGAAATTTTAATCATATACCAACTAAACATAGCATTTTAAAAGTATTCGCAAAAGTATAGTATGCAATGCGTTGAACGGTAATTAATGTCTTGAAGTTCTCGCGAACTGGTATATACATATATCGCACTTTATATCATCTGCGTTCAGATGTATGTAAATACAGAAAAAAAAGGTGTAATTTCAAATACTATATTGATGTTTTAGATTCATGCACTTTTCGTAACGTTAACGCGGGGAAGCATAGGACAGAACGCTCCGATTGATGTTTTGTAATGTAATAAAAATAAGTTTATTACTAGTTTATTATTATTTTTATTTTCAGTTGTACACTTTTTGATACTACACTGGTACACTGAGAAACTACTGGAAGTATCAATCCGGTAATCGATAATAATGTTTAATTAAAAAAAAAAAATTAGATATACTATGCAAGCAGAACAAGAATGAATTAGAAAGCTATTCAGCTTCAATAATACCACAAGCCCAACGATCTCCCGAGTTTCCAGTGCTCGCAGAAAGAGTAGTATTTCCTTTTCCTAAATCATCTTCACCGGAATGAACGACAATCGCACGTCCTATGATATTATTCTTTCCAGTAAAGGAAATAATAAAATCTTTAATATTTACGTCAGCATCTCCGTTTTTGTTTGCTTCTATGTTACCTAAATCGCCAACGTGTCTCACCGGGCTGTCTTGTCCACCGTGGGTAACCTAAAAGTAAGATTTAAAGATTCATTGGACGGATTAGACGAATTAGTTGATCGAAGATCTTAACGTGGCATTATTGTTAAATAATAATTTACATTTTCAGGATTGAAATGTGGACCAGTAGACATACAACCATCTCGTAGGTCTCCTTTTTCGTGTACATGAATACCGTGTAATCCTTCTGTAAGTCCATGTACTTGTCCAGTAATTTGAATGGAGTTATCCTTGTTTTGAATCAGGGTCAGTTCTCCCGTTACATTTCTCGTTTTAATATTGTTTGGTACCAAATGGACATGTGCAGTTTTTTGCTGTAGAATATGAATTTTATAATATTGAATAATCATAATAATGCAATTCATGAAACTGTAAATTAAGATAGTTTTCCTTGATATTTGTCGCGAATCGACATACCTCTGCAATGGTTGCAACTACAATTCCAAGGAGAATTATGATCATTCGATTCATGATGAACGATCTGAAATAAAAATTATAATGATATTATAATATAATTATTATATTATAATATAATAATATAACATAATATATTTATAATATAATTATTAGATATCTAAGATTTAATAAATTTTTAAAATTTAGCTTCAACATCAAATTCTCATCGATTTATTACTAGCTTCTTATTTATGAATTCAGTCTGTTCTAAAATGAAGTGTTAATTAAAAACAAATCGAGCGAACAAGTTTCAAAAAATATATATCTATGATTTTGGATACTTTGGATACTTTGTTGCAAATTATACGTATTTATATTACGAAAGATATATTCGATAAAGCTAACATTTATTTATGTATCTAGAATTTAATACTACCACCCAATTTAATGTCGATGTCAAAAATTTAAATAATACTAAAAAAAAAATCTAAAAACAAAATTACTCACTAGTATAGTATACGCAAGATAAAAGAAAAATGACAAATTTTTAAGATGGTGTCCGATTAAAAAGTTGCTGATGTTAGATATTACACCGTAAGAGAAAAAGATCTCACTCTTGATGGATATACGTGCAGAAAGTGAAAGGAACGTACCATGTACGTATGTAGGCCTTGGATATGCGTATTCACGGATACTGTCTGACTGACTGGATGCTGAGTTAAAGCCCAGCTTATATGGTCTATTAGTATCTGTTCTATTAGATGTATCCCCACTGATTGTTCGTTCAAGATTTTTTTCGAACTATACTTATTTGAAGAACGATCCTGCATCATTAATTCACATATTATATACATACGCACGTACGTGCTTTGCCAGGACAATTTTGTCAAGGAAACTTTTGAAAGATTCTGAAATTAGAAAATGAACGATCAATTAGAAATGCATTAGAGTAATGTGGACCAATTTGCACCACCTAATAATTTTAATAAATCAGCGAGTTACAGTTACACTTCGTAAATTACAGTTTTGTCGGATGTTAAGCAGGGATTGGACTTGAAAATCCAATATATATGTACGATCCTATGTACTACAAAGTCCAACACTTTCCTGATGATCTCATTAATGTATAAACGTGAGATTCGAATCTAGTTATATAATATCGTAATAAAAATACTAGTTGCCAAGCAAGTTTAAAGATTGACCAATTCATACTTGTATATCTGGCATACAAATTAGAAACGTCCATGAAAAAAAATTTTTCATTCTTTTTCAAAAAAACAAGTTTCAATAGATTTCGTTATCGTGATAATTTTCTTAAATTCTTAGAAAATATTTTTTATTACTTTTTTTTTATGTCATAGAGACGAAAACGTTTGCAACAATTTTTTGCAACAAAATTGAGGAACGTTTGTGCACGTGTATGAAATACGAGGACAATTGTGGCGCAAATTACTCTCTTTTATCTCTGCTTGAATCCTTATAACGGATGCCGGATATTATATTTATAAAGCACCGATTGTCGATTCACCTACGACCTACGATTTATACGACGTAAATCACACGATCCCGATTCAGCTACATCCTCTGAGACCCGAGTAATTTACAGTTGAGCTGCTTCGACCATTTACCATTTTCATTTTACAATTTCGTTTCTTCTTGTCTCGTTGTTATTTTTGACTTTTTACATTCATCTTTAATAAAAAATTAGCTAATTTACGCATGTACGTAGAAAAGGGTATATTGAAGTTCAATTTAATTACACGTTAAACGAAATTGAACGACGTGAAAATTATAATTATGATTTCAATACAATAACTTTTCATTCATTAATCTACTATCTTATACGGATAGTACCTATAATACATAAAGAGATTTTATTTTTTCAATACAGATTTTTGTATTAAAGCACACGTAAGTTGTAGATCTCTAGGTATTGTTTAATATTAATAATAAATTTAAATATTTATTTATTGAATTAATATTTCGACGTCATTTATATAACTTTTCTTTTAAATTTGTTTAATTTCCTCAACTCAGCGTCCATCGTGACACGCAATGTTTTCTTGTCTTTTAAAATATTCTTCCAATTAAACGAATACTCGAACGGATGCTTCTGTAAATTAGCCAACACTTTAGCCTGTATTTCCATGAAATGATAAATTATTTCTTCGTTTGGGTCAATTCGTTGTATTTCCTTAAAATTCATTAAATTTAAATTTTATTAAAGAATGAAACGGATTGTATTGTAATTAAAATGCGGGGTGCCTGTATTATAGATTATCGTAACTGCAGGTTTTAAATATCAGAACGCGTTTTACTTTCACACAAAGTATGATAAATGGTTCAAATTCATTATTAAAGAAAAGAAATGATTGTTCGATTTATCATAGAAAACAAAAAAATACGAAGAAAAATCAGAGTTGAAATTTCGTTTAGCTTGGTTATGGAGAATTAATTAATAGAACTTGCCATTATATTTTTTCAAACTACAATCTAACTTTCTCTTTTCTGCTTACCATCATTTCTTCTTCAAGTATAGTGTCTTCCACAGTAATTGGTTCGTCGAATTTTTCTGTCATTGGTGGTACGGAGATTAGCCTTGTTTCTGGCTGATGTTTTGGAAAGAAAAGACTTTTCGTGTGCTCGAAAATGTTTTCTTGCATTTTTAGTGTTTGCCGTAATTTTTGTTTCTTCCTCTTCTTTTCTTGTCCTAATTTTAAGATAGGTTCACGTTGCTTTTCGAGGTCGTCTTTCCTTAAACCTTTCTTCTCCAGAAGCACTTGCTGCATGTGCTTCAGCTCCCTTGCTTCCCACTTTCTGCGTGATTCTTGAATCATTTCCCATCTTTTCTATAAATTCAATCCAATTATGGAGCAAGCAACAGTTTATCATTATACATTCTTACATACACGTATAAATTTTCTTAAATTATTAAATTAATTAATTATAATTAATTATTAAATTAATTTTGTTAAATTCAATAACGTTAATTTTTAATTGATAAAAATCTAAGAAAAGAAAAGTTTATTCTCTCGTCTCTTTGTTTTCTTTGTTTCTCTTTTTTTATCGATGAACTTGCCGAGAAGCAGGTCCAATGGGAATTTCTCTAATACTATTGTGTAATTTCTAATACCGTATTGACAAAAACGATAAAAAAAAATGACGATAAAAAAAGACAAAAACTTTAAAAGAGAAATAAAGTAAAAGGACTCGATGAAATCAAATTCGACATTGCGGTAACTGTATGTATCTATAATACATGTATGTATCTATAATTTTTTTTTTTTTACTAAAACGATATGAAAAAGAAACTTTTAATTTTTTTTATACGGCACCGTAGATTGTATATTACAAAAATTTTTCTCTTCTTCAGCATTAGCTTACCAAAAAAGGAACACAATTTACCAAGCTTTTCTTCACAGGCTCTACCAAAGATTCCACTTCCACTGTTTTAGAAACAGTTGCTTTCTCTTCTTCCTGCTGTTTCCTCTTCTCCGCTTCTTTCGACAATCTTTCTTTCTGTTCAATTTCTTTATAATTTGTTTCTAACCACTTCTCTAGCCATTCTCTACAATTTTTCACCTGAAATTATTTAAAAAATTAAAACTTTTATGACGAACAACATGAGCAACGATTTAAATTCATTTGGCACACAATATAAGTATACTTGTATCTAAAAAAAGAAATTTATCAAGAATCATTACGTCCGAAAAAACTAAGAAATTGTTACACGAAGGTAATAAAAAGGTATAAAATTAAATCACGAGACTATGGAAATGAAGATTACATTTTTAAAACTCAATTAATATCGAGGCTTTAACAAATTTAAATAGTTAAATTTAAATAGTTAAAAGAGATAATTTTACTTTCAACGAAATTACCCTTTTCACTTGTCGTTGAATAAAATTGGTCATCCACTCTATACAGGCGGAGTCTGTTTCAAAGAAAGTAGTAGGAGCTAGGAACATTCTTAGGATACCATTGAAATCGCAAAATCCTACGCATTGAGGGGTCAAATGTAATTCGTGGGTATATATTCCTGTGATTATGCGACCAGACAAGCTCTGGAGGACGCACGGTTCGTCTGTTTTCACCATGAAATCCCATAATTCAACGGTACCATCTAATCGTGTAAGAATTAGTATTGTGGGGCGAAAACTACCCCACGAAACAGCAGTGTACCTACATGTATAAAGGAATAAATATATTTTTCATACATAAAAATTTACATAAACGGTCAAAATCTAATCTAATAGATCATTGTACGATCATCAATGTACTAATCTGTTAATGTAAGTAGCATCAGATGTACATACGTATAACTTACAGAAAAAATATACGCACAAGAGTTGTACAATTCAACTTATACAAAAGTATACATTGAAGTGTTGAAATATCGAAATACTCTCGAGATACTTTTGTACCGTCCACACAATACACGTTAGACGTACAATTGGAATATTTAAAAAAATATTTTTAAGACATAATTTTAAAAAATATTTAAAAAATCGACATATACCCAATATCTGACTTCTTCCAAAATAATGGTATACCGAGATCTTCCTCCCAAATAGCAAATATCTTTCCACCTATTGTTACAAGCCACGTTCTGTTTTCTCTAGATCGAACGGTATGTGTTATGGGACCATCGTGTACTCTTTTAAACCAACACCATCGACATTTTTCAGTATTAATAGCTAAATCCGTTGTGAAATCGTATCCTTCCCATGTAACGCAACCAAAATCACCTAGCAGCGATGGCAAATTGGAATTGAATTAGTTATTTGACAATGTATAATACAAATAAATATAACAATTATTATATTATAGTAATTATTATATTACAGTAATTATATTATAGTAATTATATTATAGTAATTATATTATAGTAATTATTATATTACAGTAATTATATTATAGTAATTATTATATTATAAATAAGTACAAGACAAATACATAGGACACACAGTCGCGGAAGAATTGAATCACGAAGATGTAACATGTATTATACGTATAAAAATACAAACGAAACATACTGACGATTATTATTTCGATTACCGAAGATATAATATTGAATTGATTATTTCATTTTTTGTGACTGCCCCTATAATTAAAAAATAAAATATATAGTGAAAACTAAAATTGTTTCTTTTTCTTTTTTTCTTTCTTTAAATTTAGATTCTATTCTGGAAAACGTATATATTTTTATTTCTTCTTTATAAATTTGTATTTTTATACCTTCAACAGTACCGACATGTATCTTCGGTTGCATCACATAATCCGGTTTTTTGATAATATTTTCAAAATATCTTCGGACAGTTACATCTTGAGACGGTGGACCAACATCTACACGTTTTTTCTCAAATTTCGGTACGTACATGCTAATCGTGGTTATCACGACGTTTCGACTTTCGTTTGGATGTTGGGCCACCAGGATGTAACAAGGCTTGAAAACGCGGTCCAATATTTTAAACGGAGATACAGACTTTATCAACGCCTCTGGTCTTTTTACTTTTCCTTTCTTTCTCGGGCTCGGTTCCTTCTTCTTGTACATCTGCCATCTTGAAACAAATAATAATTTCTGACTCGATTAAATTTATTTATACATATTTAATTGCAAATTCTTATATTTCGCGTAAATTGTTAAAGATTTTGTATAGGTAGTTTGTTTGCATTAAATATTTGTAATGCTCTGCATAACTATAATATCCGGGAAGCAAAATTTGTGGTCACTTTCATCGGACGTCATCAAAATCAGGATCATTTTTCACGGAAATGAACGGTTCTCGAGATATTCGTAAAAAATTATCGGCATTGTTAAATAATGAATTCTGCTGATACGAGTTCATAATTGTGCGTGTTCTAGCAGTGTTAACTACTGTTAGTGATACACTGTCAGCGTACGTGGTCACAGTTACGCGTACGTGATCACAGTTAAGCGTATGTGACGTTAAAAAGGAAAATTCATTAGAACGATACCGGCAAATTTTTCCGACTACTTTGAAAATTGTTTTCGTGACAAAATGATGTTGATTTTCGGCTTCACCGATTCAAAATACCTTCGAAATAACAAGCTCGGACCAAAAATTTTCCTTCTAATTCTTTGCATACTATAGTACAGCCAAGTGTTCTACTTACAGCTGTATAACTATAAATTAGCAATGTGATGATACAATAATGAACAACCAATTAAACTTATTACAAAAGAACACCAACTTTTCATTTAACTTCAAGTTCCAGAAAGCAATCGTACCGTCCTCGCTTGCAGTCACAAATTGTAACGATAAATCATCGGTACTAGTGTCTTCTGGTAACGACGTGATTCTACCACTGGAATCAAGTTGGTCGTACGGTGAAATCCATATAATCTGAATCACAGCTGCCTTCTGGCTCTCTTTCAACGAGGATATTGCTGTGGGTCTGATTATAGACGTATCAAGTACTTCCTGCATCCACGCGATCAAAGTCTTTATTGTCATTCTATGCTTGATTTGAGCAGCCGTATACACAACTACCGCTTCTACTTTCTCGATTTTACCGGGAATGTGCCACAGTACGATCTGTAATTTTTTTTAAATAAGACATCTTATAAATGTAAAGTATTTGCAGTATTTGTCTACATGCTATTGAGTAAATAAATAATGAATTTATTAAGGTCATTAAAAGTAATCTAAATAAAATAAAGTAAAATAATATAATATCACGCGATACAATAAAATATCATACAATATTGTACATGTGATCAGATTATAAAAAATAATAAAAATATAAAATTTATCACTGTATTTGAAAACATTAAATATCTCAATTAAAAACTTATAACGAATTTATTAAACATTATTCATCTTCGTTTACTTAGCAAGGTAACTTATTTTCTTCGATAATAACCGTCCTTAGTATTTCCTAGTAGTCAAATTATTAATACTCAACTGGCCATTTGCGCAACCACCGACTACCAGATTTCCATCCAGTGGATTCACAGCCACGGATGTCACTTCCCTTGGACTTTCGAGTACCAATTTCGGTGCCAGACAGTCGTTGAACGACCATACGAGAACAAAATTGTTGTCGTAAGCTTTGACAACCTGTAACGAAAAAACTCAAGAATGTTACTTTTAAAATTTGAAAAATTTGTCGAAAATATAAAAGTTACTTTAGCTTGAAAATTTGAAGAACTTACGGAAAACGTAGAAATTATATTAAGAATCTAGAAAGAAGCAAGGAAATCAGAAAAGAGATTTTTTTTCTCTAAATTTTCACCTCTTCGTTTGATTTAGGTCCGATCAAATGTTGACTCTTGGCATAGCTCGTGTAAGCAGCAAACGCTATACCAGTCCATAATGGATGCCAACACAGATCATTAATGACTTTATTAACCACGTGCTGTTCATCCTGAAAACTTAAATGTTCCTCGTAGCTTACAGGTATAGGCCACTGAGTGTCTCTTATGTTTCTCACCAAATTGCCATAGTCGTTCGTATAAATGTCCCAAGTAGCATTTAACAGCAACTACGATATAAAAATACATCAATTATCACAGCAATTACGAGTAATACTATGTTAGTAGTAAGTAATATGTATAGTATAGTATAGTATAGTAATATGTTGAAAATAATTATTCATACCACATTATAAATAAAATTAAAATCTTATTTGAAAAAAAGGCCACATTCGAAATATATAAAACAGCTAAATTACGATAGAGGGACGAGAGAGTTGAATATCGTTCACTTATTATTAAAACATTGCACGTACGTAAGTGTATCGTTGTATATGTCATACTACAAGTACATATCTAATAGCGTCTTCAACTTATTCAGTAACATATATTCTTCAAATATTTATAAACTAACTTGATCGCACACGTAATCAGTGAAACGACGAAGGAAACTCTTCAAAGATTCTGTTTGATCTGGGGTAAAATTTGATATATCAGGAGACTGATATTCGTATTTGTACTGAATCCAACAATTTGCCGGTACCGAAAGAGCCGTTTGAGTTTTCATGTTTCGAATATCTGGAGTGACCTGAGTCATATTGCTTAACAGTTTACGTGGAATATTTTCAAAGAGTTGACGATAAGGAAGAAGTTGAATGTATCCATCACTAACGTCTTCTACTTTTCTATCTTTCAGTCGAAGTGGTGCATCGAGCACATCTGCTGTGCCTAATACCTGAAATGAACCAATAAGTATTCAGTAAGTAAATACTTATTTATATCATCGTTTAAAGGTGTGTAAACGCTTCTTTACTCTTCAACAGAATGTAATTTGGTTACAGCATAAATAGGAAAAGAAAGATAACGATAGGTAAGAAACAAAGAAATTTGTTGTATATCGAGTCTATCGTAGAACATTCGGTATCTGTACGATAAAGTTGAATTTTTGAAGTTAATGCAATAAGATAAAAACAAATTGGTATTTTTAATTATAAATTAGTATCTATTAAATGAAAAATTGATCAATAATTGATAAGTAGAATACAATCGTTACATAAAATTCTTTTGTCCATACTATCATGTGTATTTAGTAAAATGTACTTTTGTTCATTCCTTTATTTTGCCTTGTACATTTTTTACCTCGATTTCTAAAAGCGGTCTGGTATTCTTAACGATGGTTGCTTCGATCTCTACGCTACTACTAAATTCCTGCCACCTTCCTAATGGCTTGTAGACGGCAGTTCTCACTCGATTTTCATGTTCCTCTCTTTGTTTCTGAATTTCCTCGACCACAGCGTCTCGACCTTCCTCAGTTAAGCATATGTAAAACTGACCTTCTTCAGTTAACGATGGAACGTAACCAATTAATATCTTTGAATTTGGAAACTTTCGAATTTCGTTTTTTACTGGTAAGAAATCGCTACTGTCTTCGTGAAGATCTATATTGTCTTCGATAATCTCTTTTCGTACGTATACCCAAGGATATTCGGTACTAACGTTTTCTCCTATAACACAGCCGATTACCTTTTGCGTTAGAGGTGACAAATTGATCCTTGCTGTACCTGGTACACCCTAAACAGGAAACACACACGTTTAAAAAGTTGTCTGTTTCATTGAGAAACGACTAGGGATTGAATAAAAACTGAGAAGTTTTTTGGAAAAAAGTCTATAAGACAAAATAATAAATTAAATAAATCGCGTTGTATATTTCAGTATTATTGATTTATTTCTTATACATAGATATATATACATAGATATATATAAAGGAGAGAGAGAGAAAGAGAGAGAGAGAGATATTTGGAGGTTTAAAAGAAAAGAGAGTCAGTTCAACAAGAAACAGCAAGTATCTTAGCGATTTAATAGCAAGTGTGACAATAGGTCAAGAGCACTTTTTGTTTTAAATAAACGATTATATTTCAATGGATTTTACCTCCTATGTAACTCTATGTACGTTTCAAAATATAACTAAATTTCTAGTGGTATTGTAATTGATATGTTATAACAAAACTACTATATTTATGTAATGCACGTATTTCTCATTTTTTCCTAAAAAAAATTTCATTTACATTTCAGTTTTACTCTTTTTTTTTTATTATATAGAATGAGATATCCAATCAATTTATGGAAAACTAACAAGCAAGATATACATCTTGAGCTGATTTCATCAAATTTCCTGCTAAAGGATTAATTTACAATTGCAAATAACGATGTAAATATATAATTATTTAACAATTAACAAATTATAAATGTAACGTTATATATGATACCTATATTATATAGATAATATATAGGTATCTAGTTTCTGATATATAACATTAAATATAGTATTATACTATCTAACAAATTACTATTTAAAATTAATAATTATTAATGACGTAATAAATACCACTAAATAAATCTAAAGCATGGTACTTGACGATTTACCAGTGAAACAGAATAGCGAATTTCTGTTGGTGGTTCAGGTACATAATCCTTCGAAGTAAGACGTAGAAGGTCGCTACTTGATACACCAGAAGCAGAAAAAGAATCCAGATCGAAAATCGTCTTTCGTCTTTCTTTCAATGTATTTTCATTTGTTTCTAAATGTATAGTTTCCTTTGCTTCCTTTTCCCAATCTATGATATCGCTAGAGACGGCTTTGCAGAAAATAACCATAAAATTATAGTTAATTAAATTGATAAGGTCTTCTGAAATTAATCATTCACAGTTGGTTAAAAACTTAAAAACTTTATGACTAATTGAATTTTTATAATTACATGTAAATACTCACTCAGGCACGTTATACTGATTTTTGTGAAAAATCTATATTGTAAAATTATTTTTCTTTTTCATAGTCTCTGATTTTCAGTAATCAAAATGTATTATTAATGTGGAAAAATCAATTTTCTAACGATTATTTATTATTTTCGTTAATTTTTGAGGAAAATTATGAGAGATATACAATATATCACCAACAAAATTAATCGAAATCTTACCATAAAATGCAAACTAACATTTTATCGCTTCCTCCACATATTCATAGTTTGTTTCATGTTCTAAATAATCATCATGATAAACGGTGTGTTCCATCAGTGCTGAATATTCTCTATTCTCTGAATTTTCAATTTTGCTCTCATACTTTTCGTGCTGTTTGACTTCTTCATCTTCAGTTTTTTCATTTTGAATACTTTCGTTACTTTGAATAGACTGTTCATCTTCTCTCCCCTTCTTATTATGAAATCCGAATACGTCAGCCATTATACTTCAATTAACGACATGAAAATAGTAGAGAAACCGTTGCGTTCACGAAATATTTGAAAATGTTAACGATGAGTCAGAATTCTTCGAGTACGCATGTTGAGAATAATGGAATAACCACTTAAAAGTCTAATTATTCCGAGTCGAAGTTTGAATCAACTGTTATGATTACGATGGTGGTGGCATCGTAGTTATGAAAATGCCGTTAATAACGTTATTATTAAAAATTTGCTACGAGGGCATAGCGTGTGAAAATTTGTCAACTTCATGTTTAAATGTAATAAGATCCAATGAACCTGTATTAAATTGAAGAACATGTGTAAATAGTATGTTTTCTCAAATTATTTAAAATTTTAATTTAGAATACTGATTGAAACGGCGAAATTACCTGAAATAACGATAACGATTTAACGTGTATATTCAAAAAAAGTGATTCGTTTAATTTTGTCCGACTTTATTTTTGCATGATTCAGTTTTGAATCAATAATACATCGAATGTTTATTACCGATAGTTCAATATGGAAACGTTTACTTTCGTTTCATAAATCTGCTTCGATCGATCAATGAACGAATGACTCGTCAACAGAAAATCCAAAGTTTAAAATAAAAATGTAAACTCCAAATATATAAAAAAAAAAATATTTAAATTCAAGTATTGTTTTGAAAGGTATAATCTATCAGTGACAAACAATCAAATGAAGATGAACGAAACAATTAAAGAAAATATTCGAGATATTACCAAATTACATTAGAATACGACTACACATTACGTCAAGATATGATTGAAAAATACATTAAACACAGGATAATAAAATAATCAGTGTAACTTTCATTGAATTTAGTTTATTATTTTCAGTCGAGGTATCGTTCAAAATGTCCGTTTTCTCGTACGCAGTTGTAATTTTTTAATTAAATTTTGCGTTACGTTCCCTTCCTGCGTGTCACAGTTTTCTATTTCTTCGAACGTCACTGTTTTTCAAATGTTGCAGACTCGTAATATTTACGGAATAAACTATTCTTTTTACGTTTTCACAGAGATAAAAGACCAAAGATGTTGGGTCTGGTGATCTCGCAGGCCAAGCCACCGTTTCTCCACGTCTGATTCAACAATAATATCCGAACCCAATCGTTATTATCATCTTTTTTTTTTTGTGCGTGTTTTCAATTGTTAGTTGATTTGATTTGAGAAATTTATTCACAAATGGATGTTAATATCGTTTTACGTTTACGTGTCACCGTAAGTTTGTATTCATTTTTTCCTTTTTTTTTTTGCGTATTTTCCACTTTAGCATTGAAATAACAATTTATATTTTGGTTATTTTTGTATTTATATTTAATTTGAATTAAAAATATGGAAAATTACAAGTTTAATATATTTCTATTTTTCTTACTATTTGTATCAAATCATTTAACGTACATGTATATAACTCAACTTGTCAACTTTACACATAGGAAATAATTATGAACAATCAATATTGGAAACTTACTAGGAAAAAATGTGCCTGTAAAAAGTGTCTCCCTCGTACGGGAATTATATCGTCACGTCAAATTATTTTCTGGCGGGATATTTGAAAATATTATTAAATTATTTGAAATTATTATTTAATTTATCAAGATACACATACATTTATACGCAATATTGTATTGTAAAATAAAATATTCCTGTAAAATAAAAAAAAGGAAAAATCACACAGTCGATAAAGAAAAATCAATGTTACCGGTCGGTAATGGAAAAAAAAGAGAAAATAGAGCAAAAAACGAGTAACGCAAAGAGAAATAACGCGAAAAAGACATAATAAAAATAGC